ATTACAACATCAAAATATTTGGGAAAAAATAATGTTCAACTTCATGTTCAATTGGTAATACTAATTTTTCAGTTGCATGAATCTTTAATAAGTGTATCTGTATTTACAAAGAGATATCATTATTAATTTTCATTTAAAGAAATAAGTACTAGTGCTGCTGATTTTAAGAAGAAAATAAAAGCATATCTCCAAATTTATATTCCTAGTGATTTAAAGCTAAAAATTCAAAACTAAATAAAAGTTATAAAAATGCAACATTAAGAATAACGACATAGATCTTTCACTCATCTATTTCAGTTAACCCTTATCACCAAAGAGAATACCTTGATATACCTAAAATACAAACTTCGTATGAAATACAAATTTAGTTATCTATTCATACAATTTGTAATTTTCAGTGCAACAATATTTTTAAATGCTTAAAAAGAATCCTAAAAATATAACACAAGTCAAAAATATTATAAATAAAAAAAGTAATATGCTACTATGGAGACTGAACATAAATCTATATATTTCAAATTTGTGCTTTCAAAATTAATATTATAGTTATTCTAAACCTCAAGGTTACACACTTATCCTTTATACTAAACTTTTGAATCTAAACCCGTTGGTAGTCCAGAGGTTACATCCAAGTGTAAAACAGTCAGATATTATCAAGTGTAGTAGACGTAAAACTTAGTTCCAAGTAATTGGCAACTGAAAATTACAAATATTCAAAGCTTAGTTTTAAACTCATTCTTTTCATGTAAAATATCAGTTAGTGTGTTAATGCATAAGGAATAGATTATAGGAACAACTGAGAAGAACTGAGGGATCATATTCAGCATTCAATTATATAAAAAAGAAGCCATAATTAATGAGTAGGCTGACATCTCAACAATGGTTTTACTGATCTTTACTCCATATCTTCTATAACCAATACTGTAAGGAACTGTCATTAAAACTGAAAGAAATTCCTTATCTTGCTTTTCTTGTAAAGGTATTTTCAATCTATTGTAAAATGAAACAAAAATCCATTGATCAATATAAGTACTTATCAGTATGAGTTCCTAATAAAAAAATAAGACAAAAGTTTCATGTTTGTTTAATGCAGAAAAACAGTTTGAATCGAAACAAATGTGTCTTCGGCTAAATTAATGTATTGAATAGTAGTCTCTCAAACTTAAAAAATATAATTCTTAATTAGTCAATGGAAAAAGCATTCAAAATAAAAATAAATACAAAAATCTTGAAGACCACTACAAATCATTTCGAAATATTTTCAAAAGACCCCATGTATCATGGTAGTCAATTTTCAATGTAGAAAATCAGGTTGAGAAAAAATATTAGAATATTTTATTAACAACTTTAATCAGACAATTGACAAATAATTATTTCAAAACTTGCATGAATCTTGTATTTGGCTTACAAATAATTGTAATAGTAATACATTCACGTTTGTGTTAACTTTGGCACAGAATGTTTTATATGTACATTTTATATGAGTTTAAAATCGGTGGGTTTTACTTGAAAAAGCATTAAACAGTCATAATTATAAAATATACCCATTCAGCAGTCTAAATTGTTACACCATCAAGACAATATGACTGAAAACATACAAAACATGTACTTTAAATAATATCTCTCAAAAGTAAAATGTTGCAAGACATTAAATTATTAAAACTTTTATAATTTGCAGACATTCATCACAATTCAACAGTATAATTTTACTATATATGTTTTTCATTAGCATTATATATTTCACAATCATATCTTTTGTATCCATTCAATGCATTCTTTCAAAAGCAAACCTTTGAACTTCTAGTTCTTCATAACAACTAAAATGTGATTTTTTTTTCAAACGATTCATGGCTTTTAGGGCCACATGAAAGTTTATGGACCAGTTGGTCATCCATCAAAAGTATACAGACCAATGCAAAAGGTTTGACTTATTTATGAGAGATGACTGAATGGTCTATAAGCTGCCATTTGGACCAAAGTGACAATTATTATTTGTTTTATTTTACTAAAATATTTAAGTTTCCATACAAAACAGTTTCGTTTTATTTTGACTTTAAACACAGAATGCATGCATAAGCCATGTAATAATGTTTCATTCAGTGGAAATAAAAAAACATTTGAAATAAATGTGATGACATCATGTTGGACAAAATGGGGGAAATATAGTATCTTGAAATATTTTATTATTTGTAAACCATTTACTGACACAAAATTTTAATTTCTTTTTTTCAAAACATCTCTGTTGATATTCATCATGTCATAGCTATATATAGTACAATATAACCATTGCCTTTCTGTTCTATTTCAATATATGATATGGAATGTCTGAATTTCAACATATTTATAGGGGGAATTTTATTTGAAGATCAAAATTTAAAATTATATTTGGAATTTAAGTTAAAAAATCAAAAATAAATAACAAATTAAAAAATCAAACATACAAATACAAATATTGATGAGTTTCTAAGTATCCCTACTTGCATGATTTGAAATAAGAACTACATATTATTGTTAAGTACATCATGATTGAAGCAACCAATAAACTGGTGGTTTCCTGTTTGCTTATTATCATCACTTACTGTAATTTGTATATTGCAAGGCTATCAATTAAATAGTGCATAGATCTCTGAATTGTAAGAGTAAGAGCATATCTGTTGCAATTTTTAATTTTGAAGGATTTAAATGCATAAGAGATGCAATTAAATCAGACTTAAAATTGAAAGAATTACAATATTTGGCATTAAGCTTCATTATACCCCTTTTAACTTGTATACCATTAGAATTCAGTCAAACATAATAATCAAAGTGCTTGTAGGCACTGAAGGGTAAAGACTGCTTTAATTTATCAGTGGGAAGTCAAATTAAATATTGCATTGTATAAAGCATTGGTTGTAGTTGATTCAACTACACTACAATTCTGGACAAAGGAAAATAACTCCAATTTTTAAAGATGACTTTAACAATAACATCATTAATATTTTTAGAACGGATATTAGATTTCTGCACCTTGCACAAGTTATGTAATTTTCTTGACAAGAATAACATCATTTTGTAACTTGAATATCTGAGTATATATTTCATTGATAAATTTCTGGAAATACTCATGGATAGGATGTTTAGAATGTTATGATCAATGCACTATATTTTGTGTACCTCAAAAGTAGTGATCAACCTTGGAAGATTTAGATATCAAGTCAGTACCATAGGATTTTGATTGCATTTCATGCAATCTTTACCCAAACAATTAAAGAGTTAATATAATACGAATTGCAAAGAAAGTGTCAATATCAAGCTATAATTCAAAAGGGTCTTGACCCCATCTAGTTTTCGAAATGGAAGACCTATCTCAAATCTTTCTTTCTTAATTAAAAAAAATTGGCAATACAAAGAATAAAGGATTAAAACAAGATAAAAGATAAATAGTCAATAGAAACACTATTGTTTGGTTTGCTTGGGAATCTGCATTATTTCTTGTTTTTAAACAGGTTGTTTACAATCTTTATTTGCAATTAACCACTTCTTATATAGACACAGATTGTTGTATTTAAAATTGCAAGATGACCTTTATACTATATAAAGACAGTTATTGCACAGAACCATCTTTTAAAAAAAAAAGATAGCACCATACCATTATAGTCATAAAAAGTTTAGGATAATTAGAAAAGTACTTTTGGTTTACTCATACTCTTTTGATAGAAGACAAAATCTAATATTATGCAGCTTCAGAAATATTGCACTGAAAATAAACTACTGTCATACCAAACGGTAAATTTTTCTATGGGTTCACTTGCTTTAAATCAAAGCACTGTAAGCGCTGTAGGCAGTTAACCAAAAACCAAGGCAAACGTAATATGAAAACTGTTTCAGTGTTGCTTCAATTTTTTTTTTAAGATTTGAAAGAACAAACATTAGACATTCGTATATTGTACATTTATGTTTATCTAATGAATTGATTATTAAGGCAAATTAATTAATATTTCATCAAGGTTTTCAAAAGCAACACATATATATCAATGTAAATGACCCCCATCTTCACCCCAAGTCCATGATGTCACTCCATACCAAGTTTGGAATAAAATGACAGGTGATTATAAAACAGTTGTTCAAACATTCCTGGGCTTTACACTGCTTGAAAGATTTATATGTTTTCTTTGAAATGAACCATTAATGAAAATTATTATAGGCCCAGAAATAAATCAAAAAAATAATTAGTGTAAATTCAATTAACCTAGACTCATTTTTTGCATCAATAAAATTTTATAATAAACAAGAAATAATTGTAACAGGATGCTGTCTCCCAAACAAAGCTCCCATAATTCGTCATTCCCATGGTCGCCTGACATTGGGCAAAGTCCAGTACATATTGGTTTGGTCTAGTAAAGTGATATGCATATGTGACGCCTAGGGGATTGACCCTGTATGTCAGTCAAATCTTTTTGAAATGACGAACAGGAATAAATATGGTTTAGGAGTGGGTATCTCAACCGTTTACAAGTTCTCAAACAGGAGGGGGTGGGGTGACCCCAGGGACTCCCCCTATATTTCATTTGATTTGTTTTATTGTCCCATACATGAATATATATGGTTTAGGGGTGGGGATCCCAACCATTTCCAAGTTCTCAAACAGTAGAGGGTGAGGTGACTCCAGGGAATTCCCATATATTTCATTTGATTTGTTATATTGTCCTATACATGAATATATATGGTTTAGGGGGTGGGGATCTCGACCGTTTACAAGTTCTCAAACAGGAGGGGTGGGGAGACCCCAAGGAGTCCCCCTATATTTCATTTGATTTGTTTTTAATATTGTCCCATACATGTATATATATGGTTTAGGGGTGGGGATCTCGACCATTTCCAAGTTCACAAAACAGGAGTGGTAGGTGACCCCAGGGACTCCCCCTATATTTCATTTGATTTGTTTTATTGTCCCATACATGAATATATATGGTTAAGGGGTGGGGATCTCGACTGTTTTCAAGTTCTCAAAATGGAGGGGGTGGGGTGACCCCAGGGACTCCCCATATATTTCATTTGATTTGTTTTATTGTCCCATACATGAATATATATGGTTTAGGGGTGGGGATCCCAACCATTTCCAAGTTCTCAAACAGTAGAGGGTGAGGTGACTCCAGGGAATTCCCATATATTTCATTTGATTTGTTATATTGTCCTATACATGAATATATATGGTTTAGGGGGTGGGGATCTCGACCGTTTACAAGTTCTCAAACAGGAGGGGTGGGGAGACCCCAGGGAGTCCCCCTATATTTCATTTGATTTGTTTTTAATATTGTCCCATACATGTATATATATGGTTTAGGGGTGGGGATCTCTACCATTTCCAAGTTCTCAAACAGGAGTGGTAGGTGACCCCAGGGACTCCCCCTATATTTCATTTGATTTGTTTTATTGTCCCATACATGTATACATATGGTTAAGGGGTGGGGATCTGGACCGTTTACAAGTTCTCAAACAGAAGGGGGTGGGGTGACCCCAGGGACTCCCCATATATTTAATTTGATTTGTTAAATTGTCCTATACATGAATAAATATGGTTAAGGGGTGGGGATCTCGACCTTTTACAAGTTCGCAAACAGGAGGGGTGGGGTGACCCCAAGGACTCCCCATATATTTAATTTGATTTGTTAAATTGTCCTATACATGAATAAATATGGTTTAGGGGTGGGGATCTCGACCGTTTACAAGTTCTCAAACAGGAGGGGTGGAGTGACCCCAAGGACTCCAACTATATTTCATTTGATTTGTTTTATTGTCCCATACATGAATATATATGGTTTAGGGGTGGGGATCTCGACTGTTTTCAAGTTCTCAAACAGGAGGGGTGGGGTGACCCCATGGACTCCCCTTATATTTCATTTGATTTGTTTTATTGTCCCATACATAAATATATATGGTTTAGGGGTGGGGGTCTCGACCGTTTACAAGTTCTCAAACAGGAGGGGGTGGGCTGACCCCAGGGACTCCCCATATATTTCATTTGATTTGTTATATTGTCCCATACATGAATATATATGGTTTAAGGGTGGGGATCTCGACCGTTTACAAGTTTTCAAACAGAAGGGGGTGGGTGAAACCGGGTACTCCCCCAAATTATTTTCATTTGATTTGTTTTATTGTCCCATACAAGTATATATATGGTTTAGGGGTGGGGATTGCGATAGTTTACAAGATAAAAGCACATTTTCAAACTGAAGGGGGTTGGGATGACCCCCAGGGACTCGCCCTATACTTTATTTGATTTGTTTTATTGTCCTTTACTCATTACTGAAGACCGCGTGTGTCTATCACTTACTGTTTTCGAGAAATAGTCATTTGAAAATTTAAAAACTAAACCCCATAGGGTTCTACAATAAACCCATTCATTCTTTAGGCCCCTCAAAATACCCCTAAATAGACCCCAATGCACAAACAAAAGATTGATGGCTCCGCTAGACATGTTAGTCTAACATTTTATGAAACCCTAAGTAAATCTGACAAGCGGTCCAAGTTGTCTTCTTAGACGGTTCGAGTGGATTCGGTCCGACTTGTCTCGGGGACGAGTTGTCCACATTACTTAAAACATCCCATCGACGTCGATTTCCAGAACTGTTTCATGACCTCGTTTCATTCATAAAACAACAACCTTATTTGGCAAGATAAGTTGTAAAATTACCGCCAACTTAGATATATAACTTTATTTCCTCTATCATAGAGATTTGTTGTACACGAACAATATTCCTGCGCATTTAGCCATTTGGGAAATATAAACGACGTGTAATAACAGATTTCCGGCGATGAAATATTTACAGAAAGGTATACAGCCAGTAGAAAAATAAATGGAAGTTGATACTCTAGGAATTTATTTGCAAAGCAACATTTTAAACCAATTTTACAGCAATCTCTTATAGCTCTCTGTACTAAAGGTTTAGTACTTCAGGAGGGAAATGATAACATTGAATGGAAGTTTTGTTTTTACTTCAACTTATTTCTATTTTTACTATTTACCAGAACTTTTTCCAATGAATTTATAATTGATAGCATCCTTGTTAAAACAGGACAAACATCGAAAAGGTCTAGTTTTCAGTGTTTACAGAGGAGGTTATATTTTGCCACTAGATTTCCCACTGATGTGGCATGTCTAAACCACAAATGTTGTACAAGTTATCTTTTGCTTATTTGTTAGTGAAGTTAAATTAAAATTTAAGTTCAGTCATTTCTCCCTGATATGTATAAAAATATATTTCATTACTTGCAATTAAATACTGTGATTTCCAAGTCACATATAAGCTGATTTTTCTTGTATTTTCTTTCCTCAGACATTAGAGGTCTCGTCAGGAGATGCCAAGTAAGATGCATCAAAACAAAAATGGAAAACTGAGAATAAGAAAAAGATATAGTCCATTGAATCTTTGACTTTCTTTATATTTAATGTCAATGTAATAAATTTAATAACTATTCTAAAAGAATGCAAGATAGTTTTCTTGTTTGAATTGTTTCACATTTTTCATGTCAATGGCTTTTATAGCTGACTATGGGTTTTCTCATTGTTGAAGGCCATATAGTGACCTATAATTGCTTATATCCAAGTCATTTGAACTCTGGTGGATAGCTGTCTCATTGATATTCATACCACATCTCCTTATTTTTACAACTGACACAAATCATTAAATTGGTTGCAATGAACATGACGAAATACCTTGACTGCTTGGTAAAATAAATAGAGAATATTATATGACTTTTTCAATAACATACCCGTATCAACCTGAGACACCAACATCAGATTACTAATTCTGTAAAAACTGCTCTATTCTGTGTTCTTTTTAATTTTTCTTGATAATCATTTTTGAAGAAGTTTCTTAATCATGGAAAATGTCTTAGACTGCACATATGAATAATAATAAAAAAAATTAATTACTTGAAACATTTGATTACTAAATTGTGAGCTTACTATAAGGTAAAATCTTAAAACAAAAATAACCCATCTATTAATAGAAATGTAATTATCTATTAATAGAAATGTAATTATCAGACCCAAGTTTTTGAATAACTATATTACTAAAGATGTAATAAAATAAACTTAACATTTTGGTAATTTCAATCTTAAACTAAGTAGCTATCAACACATTATGTATCTATACTTATATTTGCCTAAAATAAAATGCATTTTACTTTTGATTGATGTAAAAGGACTCTGTGTTTGTGACAAACCAGCACCTGCTAAAAATGCTATTTAAATTAAAATGTTTTAAATTCATACTACTGTACTATCAATAACATGTATGAATAATTAATTAAGATAATATAAAAAAAAATAGACCTATCACAGATAAACATCATAATTCTTGTTTTGATTTTCTTTTCTTTCTATTTGATCGTCTCAAAATTTTTGATGTGGTCCCATTTGTTAAACTGTCTTCACATTCTGATAATGTTCGTTTTTGTGACCTTTGTTCTTCTTTCTGATTTTTCTGGTTTGTAAAGTTCTTGAAAATATGTGGTCTATGTAATTCTTGAGCAATTTCTATCTTCTGTAAATAAAAAGAAAATATACAGTAAATTCAGGAATAACTAATAGGAATAAAGAATGTGGGGTATACATCAATGAGACAGCAACCCAACAACAAAAACAAGCATGTACAGGTCAATATACAGTATTTAACAATAGAAAGATGTCTATACAATATGTCAAGCTCTAAATAGCTCTTCAAGTGTAAAACAGTTGTCAAAATTAACAGATCTGCAATCAATACAAAATTCTTCAAATGACAAAAACACTCTAAGACATGAAAATGGATAACTACTGACAAGTTGCCTTGATTTGGACAGACTTATGAATATGTGGTAAAGTTTAATTAGTCTGTTTTTATATATGTTATATATGGAAAGGGAACTCTAATTGGGCGACAGCCATTTTGGATGGCAGTTGAGAGCATGAAACACAAGAATCCCTTCCTTTAAGTATGGTAGGAAGTGGCCCTTACATAATTTTAAAATTGTGCACATTACATTTTCAATGTTAGACAGCAACTCTGGTAGGAGAGAGTATCATATTTATCTTTTTTTACAGATTTTCATCAAGGGATTTCATGGAAAAGGTAATAAAGGATGGATAAAAAATAATAGTTTTGGCAGGTGAAGCAATCCTTAAACAGTTCTGTGTTTTAAATGTGGTTTTCATCATGAACATAAAACAAGTTATATTAGACAACTATTCAGATTCTACCAAACAGAACAGATATTTTACAAACCTGTCTAGGCTGAAAGATCTGCAGAAAACACATGAACCAGATATTTAATACTGCAGCTATAACAAAAAGCTTTCCTGACAGAGGTCCACAACTATAGTATCTATGGAAATATAGAAAAAATTTAAATATAAAAAATAAATCCAAACAACTTAAATAAAAAAGGAACTTTTCCTAATGCTTTCTTAGTTAAGAGATAATTTTATGCTAAAACTGGAGATATTATATGAATTTGATTTTTTTTAAATCACTGGACAAGGGAGATAACTACATAGCATTCAACACAGCTGGAATGTGAATTTAACTTTGGCCCTAAATTGAAGTTCACATTTTATAAAAATTGCAAGCTGATTCTAAATTTTTATTTTTATTAAATGAAAAATGCAAGATTTAGAATAGAGACTTTTTTCTTCAGGTTATTTTTTACCTAGATAATCTCTCTTTGGTTTCTCTCTCCACTAAATCTGCTACCCTATTATAAACTCTCTCTGTTCTATGTGCCACATCTCTCCAAGTGTATAGTAACTTTATTCTATTATGGGCCACAAATGGAGGAACATTCCTTCCTGCCCTTTTGTCAGCTATAGCCCTCTCTAATTCTTCTCTTAAACCTGAAATATCCACACTTTCTGTAAGACAGAATTTCTTTTTATTCTTTAATAATAAATCATGTCAAATAGAATGTCATATTTCCCAAAGGGTATTGCCTGAGGTAAATATGACTTTTTGAGGGTGAACAAATCTTCATATCTCCCTAATCCAAGGGAAATGAATGTTTTATTCCACTACCTATACATTGTTTTACTTCCTGATTATAAGATATTAATTTGCATACAATGTTTCTTATCCGCTTGCTTTATAACTGTATGCAACTAAAACATTGATAAACATTACCGATCAAAAGTTAATTATTCATTCTAGTATAAGTTTTCTCTGAATTTTTTTTTGAATTGTTTTTACGTCTGAACACAATAATGACTTAGGTAATCCTGATCTTCAGATGGGAATCTGATACTCAGAAGGGAATATGAAGTTTTGTTTAATGTCACGTGGGATCATCTAAACCAATCAAATGTTAATTTAGCTATCACTATTTACATACAGTGGAATAATAACTTAGATCATTTGGTTCAGCAAGGTAGATATTAGGTCTATTTTAATATTTTATGAATACAATGCACTAACTTTGATCATTTGGTTCAGCGAGGTAGATAAGGTCTGGTGGTAATACTTCAGGCACTCCTCCTACTTTTGTACTCACAACCTGTAAACTTATAAAATGTAAAATAATATAGAAACAATATTGATATTCTGTTCATTGCCATACAAAATGTTTATGTGCATGACCAAAGTAAACAATGTTATTAGTATCTGAAACTATTGAATCAATTTTAAAGTTGTGATTAAGAAATTGGTATAAATTTAAAATTTTCATCTAATTTTTTGCTTATAAGTGTATTTTTTGCACTTGTTTAATGCATAATAAAATCTATGAGAAGATCAATGAAGTTAAAAACTTAGATTGTTGGGTTACTGTCTCATTAACATTTACTTAAAATCTCCTCTATAACATACTATTTTTCTATGTGGTATTAAATGTTTAATCCAATATCTAATAATAAGCAATCAAAAGATGACGACTTCACTTGACCTATCCATGTTAAGAGGAGACAAGAAAAAGTTGTTTTTGTCAGATAATACCAAGATTACACCCCTGACAAGACTTATTTTCATCATGTTAAGTTGTGTAAATCATAAATGTGTCTGAAATTTTATAATTATTTGTTTTTAAATTAATGTAAGCTTAAGCTCCATTTTTATTACATACCCACAACAAGCAGCCTCTACAATAGCAATACAGAAAGCTTCTGTCAGTGAAGTATTGATTAAAATATCTCCCTGTACTAAAACCTACAAAGAATATCAAGGATGTTTACCTTCAATGTTCAAGTATATCACATTTCCTTTCAATTCAAACATCTAGCAGTCAGAAAGAAACTCACTTTTAACATTATAATCAAGATAAAAATGTTGTTTGTATATGTGCCCTCCTTGGTATGTAGAAATAAATTAAAAAAAACAATCAATCATGAAGCATAAACAAAAAGACCAATCTCAAGTAGTTTTTATGAATAAAAATTTGTAAGGGTTCCACGGAACCCAGTGTCTCGCCTACTTTTGCTGTTAATCGCAGGCTCAACAAAAATGAGGAAAAAAATTAATAAAAATATTCCTCCCTATACTATCTTTTGATTGTAAGTAGCTTCTATCCAAGTTTCGTAAAAATCCAGGATAGTTTATGAATCTAGTAAATGTTTTAAAAACTTACACTGCAGACTGTATGTAATGTTAACTGGAAGAAAAACTAAGTCCATTTATAAGTAAAATACAGAAATCAAAGCACTGTAAGCGCTGCAGGCAGTTAACCAAAAACCAAGGCAAACGTAATTATGAAAACTGTGGCAGTGTTGCTTCAAATTTTTTTTTCAGATTTGAAAGAACAAACATTAAACATTCGTATATTGTGCATTTATGTTTATTTAATGAATTGATTATTAAGGCAAATTAATTAATATTTTATCAAGGTTTTCTAAAGCAACGCATATATCAATGTATATTTTTAATGGTGAGTCTGCAGTGGTACAAGTTCGCAATGATTGCAGGTGTTCTAGTTGGTAGTTAACGTTGGTAACAGTTGACTTTTAGTGGTACAAGTTGACGTAATTGTATGAATGGACTTGCTTCCCTGGAAGGAACACTGAGTTTGGGTTCTACAGTACAAAAGTTATGAGACACAAATCAGACAAATGTTTACTACTACAATGATCAAAAGGTGAGGTCTGACTGCCCTGACCATAGTAAATGTAAATCACCCCCACCTTCACCCCAAGTCCGTGATATCACTCCATACCAAGTTTGGAATAAAATGACAGGTGATTATAAAAGAGGGACGAAAGATACCAGAGGGACAGTCAAACTCATAGATCGAAAACAAACTGACAACGCCATGGCCAAAAATAAAAAGACAAACAGACAAATAATAGTACAGATGACACAACATAGAAAACTGAAGACTAAGCAACACGAACCCCACCAAAAACTGGGGGTGATCTCAGGTTCTTCGGTCAAATAAAACAATTGGTCAAACATTCTTGGGCTTTACACTGCTTGAAAGATTTATATGTTTTCTTTAAAATGAGCCATAAATGAAAATTTTTATAGGCCCAGAAATAATTCAAAAAATAATTAAAGTAAATTCAATTTACCTAGACTCATTTTTTGCATCAATAAAATTTTATAATAAACAAGAAATAATTGTAACAGGATGCTGTTAGGAAGTCTCCCAAACAAAGCTCCCATAATTCGTCATTCCCATGGTCGCCTGACATTGGGCAAAGTCCTGTACACATTGGTTTGGTCTAGTAAAGTGATATGCATATGTCACATAATGTGACGCCTAGGAGATTGACCCTGTATATCATTCAAATTATTTTGAAATGACAAACAGGAATAAATATGGTTTAGGAGTGGGGACCGTTTACAAGTTCTCAAACAGGAGGGGGTGGGTTGACCCCAGGGACTCCCCCTATATTTCATTTGATTTGTTATATTGTCCCATACATGAATATATATGGTTTAGGAGTGGGGATTTCAACCGTTTACAAGTTCTCAAACAATAGGGGGTGGGGTGACCCCAGGGACTCCCCCTATATTTCATTTGATTTGTTATATTGTCCCATACATTAATATATATGGTTTAGGGGTGGGGATCTCAACCATTTCCAAGTTCTCAAACAGGAGGGGCTGGGGTGACCCCAGGGACTCCCCTATATTTCATTTGATTTGTTATATTGTCCCATATATTAATATATATGGTTTAGGGGTGGGGATCTCGACCGTTTCCAAGTTCTCAAACAGGAGGGGGTGGGGTGACCCCAGGGACTCCCCTATATTTCATTTAATTTGTTATATTGTCCCATACATGAATATATATGGTTTAGGGGTGGGGATATCGACCGTTTACAAGTTCTGAAACAGAAGGGGGTGGGGTGACGCCAGGGATTCCCCCAAATTTTCATTTGATTTGTTTTATTGTCCCATACAAGTATATATATGGTTTAGAGGTGGAGATCGCGACCGTTTACAAGATAAAAGAACATTTTAAAATTGAAGGGGGGTGGGATGACCCCCAGGGAATCACCCTATATTTTATTTGATTTGTTTCATTGTCCTGTTCTCATTACTGAAGACCACGCGTGTCTATCACTTACTGTTTTCGAGTATAAATAGTCATTTGAAAATAAAACCCCATAGGGTTCTACAGTAAACCCCTCCCTTCTTTAGGCCCCTCAAAATACCCCTAAATAGTTCCCAATGCACAAACGAAAGATTGATGGCTCCGCTAGACATGTTAGTCTTACATTTTATGAAACCCTAAGTTAATCTGACAAGGGGTCCGAGTTGTTTTCTTAGACGGTCCGAGTGGACTCGGTCTGACTTGTCTCTGGGACGAGTTATTCCGCATTTCTTAAAACATCGACCTGATTGGTCGACATTGATTACGTCGATTTCCGGTTTTTCATTCATAAAAACAACAAGTTCAGTGATAAACGGGAATAATTTAATAAAAGAAAGGAATTTAAATGTGCATACATTTAATTGAAATCAATTAAATAATCACAATCTTCTTAAACTAAAAGAATATCATGATTAAGAGTACTTTCGCTTAATCAGACTTTATATCATCAGAATCAAACGAACTTACGTTTCGTGTAAGTTAAAATTACCGCCAACTTAGACTACATGTGTACTATATATAACTTTATTCCCTCTATCATAGAGATTTGGTGTACATGAACAATATTCCTGCGCATTTTGCCATTTGGGAAATATAAACGACTTGTAATTACAGATTTTCGGCGATGAAATATTTCATACAATTGTTCTTTGCCATCTTAGCCAAAAGCACAGGGGATAATAAACTACGTACGGATTTCTATTGAGCACTATTTCCTATGTGCAACTTCAAATATTATGGGTCGTTCGACGATCATTTAAGGTTATTCTGGTCATATTTTTTGTATTCCAGAATTAAAAGAATGAAAAAAATGTCCAATTAGTTATAAATAACATATTAGCCTGCTAGATTACAACAATGGCACTTTTATCAGCATTCGTTAGGAAGAACACAAATCTAGGGTGCTAGCATAAGGCAGCTTAACTGCCTAAAAATGGAACAAAATTTTAAAAAAAATTCCTTCTAGATACTAGCTTTTAATCATAAACAAGCTTCTGTCCAAGTTTGGTACAAATCCAGGATAGTTTAAGAAAGTTGTTAAAATTTTAAAAACTTTAACCACAGAGTGAATGTATTGTTAACTGGCAGAAAAACTAAGTCCATTTATAAGTAAAATACGGAAAAAATGGATTTTTTTTTTTACAAAATTTACTTCTGGATACTATCTTATGATCATAAACAAGCTTCTTTCCAAGTTTGGTAGAAATCCAGGATAGTTTAAGAAAGTTATTAAAATTTCAAAAACTTTAACAGCAGAGTGAATGTAATGTTTCTTGGCAGAAAAACTAAGTCCATTTATAAGAAAAATACGGAAAAAATGGAATTTTTTTTTTACAAAATTTACTTTTGAATATTATCTTATGATCATAAACAAGCTTCTGTCCAAGTTTGGTAGAAATCCAGGATAGTTTAAGAAAGTTATTAAAATTTCAAAAAACTTTAACCACAGAGTGAATATTTGTGGACACCACCGCCGACAACGACAACAACGCCGACGCTGACGGAATGTAGGATCGCTATGTCTAGCTTTTTCGACAAAAGTCGAAGGCTCAACAAAAATCATGGGTTGACCCAAGGTAAATCGGCGTACATGATATCATTGAACCATCGTTTCTTACTGTGATAAAACATCCTTTTGTGACATAGGAAATGTACTGGAAAATGCACAAATTTGAAAGTCATCTATGAAATTATTTTCTCTAAATGTATGATTAAAATTGTTAATGTGTTTTCCTTAATTGGCAATTAAGTGTCATGCTTGACTGTTTTACCCTTACCGATACAATTCAACATAATATCTAGTTATTATAACTTAATTAAAATCTGTTTCCTTCAAAAATACTTGTAGATGCTATTTCATTTACATATACCTCATTTTATTCTTTGTAATCAAACTTGATTATTGAGTTAAAAAATTAAATATTCATTTAATTATTACATTTATATCTACTGTTCATTATTGCCTTTCTTCAAGCAAGGAGTATTATTTTCTTTTAACAAATTTTTTTTCGAAGATACCTTATTCAGATATGAGTTTTTAGAAATCAAATCAATTTTTTTAACACATAGAACAACCCTTATCCTAGCTTACATCACTATGCTCTAACATGCCAAGCATTATAACTCTTGTCATGTAACTTACATCCCTGACTTTCCTATGCTCCAAATGCCAAGCATTACGATTCTGTCATGTAACTTACATCCCTGACTTTCCTATGCTTCAACATGCCAAGCATTATAACTCTGCCATGTAACTTTACTTACATCCCTGACTTTCCTATGCTCCAAATGCCAAGCATTATAACTCTGTCATGTAACTTACGTCCCTGACTTTCCTATGCTCCAAATGCCAAGCATTAAGACTCTGTCATGTAACTTACATCCCTGATTTTCCTATGCTCCAACATGCCAAGCATTATAACTCTGCCATGTAACTTTACTTACATCCCTGACTTTCCTATGCTCTTACATGCCAAGCATTATAACTCGGTCATGTAACTTTACTTACATCCCTGACTTTCCTATGCTCTAACATGCCAAGCATTATAACTCTGTCATGTAACTCGTGTCTCTCTCTTACTTCCTCTAATAAAATCCTCTTAGGACCATCTCCACCTTTGAAAATAATATAACATAGGTTACTTATTACAGTAGTATACAGAAACTTATGTAAGGTAAAATTTACATCACATGCTGTAGCAACCTGAACTAAAAATTACTTAAGGATGTTCGCTCTGTTTCAAAATAACAAGCTTTTTAAAAGACTGTTATAAATTGATAGTATATAAATGAAGGAACTAAAAAAACTGCTTCCCTGAGCGCAGCTAGATACGCCCGCAAAGGTCCAACCCTGAACAGTTGGGGCAAAAATGGACACAATATTCAAGCTTGATTCAGGTCTGAATTTGGATTGTAATTAAATATTTGACATATTATAGGTTTCTGAATAAATGTAGTCAAAGAACTTGAAATTGGTTATATGATTTGAAATTATATACAATTAAAGATTTCTTGCTGTTGTGCAATACTTAGTAAATCTGTTGTCAGAGTATAAACAAATAAAGTTCAATTAATTCTCAATGTCATATTAGAAATTTATGAAAATAAAAAGTGAGCTTACATCAATAGATATAAACAATTCACCAAAGTTTCATGAGAATTGGTGACAGCATTTTCGAGTTATTGTCCGAAAACTGAAAAAACACCCCTTGTTTTAATGAATAAAACCCCATAACTCAGAAATGTAAAATGTAAAATCTATAAAATTCTAAAGGGAGCTTACATCAATACATACAAACAATGCACCAAAGTTTCATAAGAATTGCTGAAAGCACTTTTGAGTTTTTGTCCGAAAATATTTTTTATATGAAGAAAACCCTGTAACTCGGAAACGTAAAATCTAAAATTTATAAAATCGAAAGGGAGCTGATGTCAATAGATATAAACAATTCACATCAATTTCTTGCAAGTTGGTGAAAGCATTCTTGACTTATTGTCCGAAAACTGGAAAATCCCCCTTTTTTTAATGAATAAAACCCCATAACTCAGAAACGTAAAATCTAAATTTTATAAAAAACAAAAGGGAGCTCATGTCAATAGATATAATCAATTCACCAAAGTTTTATGCAAATTGGTTAAAGCATTTTTGAGTTAATGTCCGACATGTTGACGACAGACAGACGGACGGACGGACAGACGGACAACGGTATACCATAATACTTCCCGTAAACGGGCGTATAAAAAAGCAGAAAAAAAATGAAGGGTCCGTGTGCTTGTTTTCGAGATATAAGCCATTGAAAATTTGGCGGGAAATGATTCTCTCTAGATTTTTCATACAATTAACATTGACACCTTTTTTCTTTCAAAAACAATGAAAAAATAACAAGGATTTTATAAGATTTTCAAATATGCCTTTTTAAACTATATGTAATAAAATTATGGAAAAAAAGTAGGGGTTTGCGGGCAAAATTTTTAATGGCACTACATGGATAAAACCAGAGGATTCCGAATATCTGGAAAAAATCAAAAACAAGAGGAGCGAACATCCTTAAAGAATTTAAAGGCATTAATTCATAGTTGATTTATCACATATGAGACAGTTTTTACATATACTTTTCATCTAATATATCTTTCATCAGTATACATTTTATGTGATTACTGAAAAGGAATGTTCATTTCATTGAATATTTCTATTCATACATGTATATATTGATGGTTGCTTAGAAAATCTTTTAATTCAAAAACAGCTACTTTTCATGTAGTATATCACAGATGTAAAAATTTAAGTGTTGCAGTTATATTTAATATCCTAATGTTGATAAAGAATTTATCAATGAAACATATTGATAAAATCTGACAAAATATTTACAGTACTCACCAATAATAAACTGTACATCTGGGTGACTTTGGCACACATCTGGGATAATTCCTGCTAGCAAATCCATTCCCTTTCTGTATACAAGTCTACTGACTACAACTATTGTTACTGAAATGTAAACGATGTAAATTTTAAACGATAGCTCTATTTCAATCAAAAGGTAATCTCATTGAAAATGAAAATAAGTAGATAAAGAATTATTGCAAAAGAGAGAACTATCCAACAAAGACCAATAGACATGGTTTAGTCTATAGTCAAGGCAGATCACTGTTGGGTCTTCAACAATGAACAAATCCTATACTGTATAGTAAGCTGAATGACAGTGTGAAAGAATTCATCATAGAAAACTGATATATGTCAATTACCTTAAAGGAAAAACAATAATTATTATGGAAGACAGAAACCAATAATAACCACTGGGCTACAGGTAATCAAGCTTTGGACAGGAAGATAAAGAATGTCACAAGTTTAAACATGTTTGTGAGTCCTCAACTCTCCCCTTAATAAAATGTTGGTCAAATGAACAGATAACTTCTTCGCTCTTAAATTTAACAAACATTGTTTCAACTTTAAAAGTCCAGTTCTGTTCACTTATCAATACATAGGTCATGTTCTTACCATTTAAATCTGGCATATAATGCAAGAACAATTTGAAAGAATTCATACCACAGAAAACGTCTTTAATTATTCGTTACATCCTTGATATACTAAATGACCTTTAGAATGATCACATTCTATACTTTCTTTTGTTCTATGTTAAAACAGATGATAACCACTGTATGTGCAGCATTATGTAATTTGAAAGAGCTCATAATACAAATCTACAAGAATAGAATCCATATATACATGTATACTTATCATAGTTAATTCATTAGTCTGTCAGCTGTGAGAAAAGAACAGTTTCTATTGTGCAGCTGGTCTTTTAAGATAAGGAATACTTTCTTATATCTTTTACATGTGAATGAAAAAAGGGATTCCTGTCTGTGAAAAATTACATTCAGGTTGAAATGCCTATGCATATAAAAACAGTGGATCTCTATAATATACTTTTGCCAGGATGTCTTTTAGAAGGGTCTGGCACAAACATGGTTGCATCAACAGCATTTGGTATGACAGAAACTTCTTTGGGATCTAGCCCTGCCCTTAACACTGTATTCTCTTTACTGAAATAAAAAAATATATGCTGTCACAAATCTTATTTTAATGTTTTTTGTTCAAGCATTAAGTCCTGTGCCTAATGCTGTGTTTTAATTTCGAAAATAAGATTAAATTGGTATACTTTATTTCTTTACCTGAAAATTGAGATAAATCTAGTGTTCCATTTATTCCCTAATGGTCCATATACATCTGCTCTTAATGCAGTATTGTAACAAGTGTTATTATTTTTTTAAATCTGATCAGATAACATTGATTTATTAGGAAAAACTGAAGAAAAAATATCCACAAATGTCAGAATAACTGATGATTTCACATGGCATACACAAACAATGCTATAAGGAATTTTGAAATAAATGCACACTTTTTTCTAACTGAGCTACACATAAAAATTCAAGCATTTCTACTTCTATCTGATTGGATGTGGTTTTTCTGGAAAACCTGTATGAAGAACATGTACAGATTTAAATCATCTCTATCTTATATTATTAATGCATATACAGCATCTACCTTCATATACATAGAAATGAATTATTATCATACCTTGTGTGGGACACACATATCACATGATTACAATCAGCCAATGAAAACTGCAGAATTTTATTTGTGAGTATTGAACTGGCATCAGCAAATCCAAACAAAGAATGGTCTGTAAATACTGTTTTCAGTCCCATGGTCCTTGCATGGAACATCGTCTCATGGGCTAATGTAGAAAATGCCTGGAACGAAAATATAAATCTGTGTAGGATTACAAGTTTCATGTGTTCAACAGTCATGTGTCTTTGGAAGGATGTTGGTACAGATTGTGAACAGATAAGAAACAGTTGAAAGAAATGACAAAACGACTTCAGTAAAGAGAAATAGAAGTAAATTATATATAGTGTAAGATTATTTTTTAAATAATTCATTAAAAGTGATGATGTTGTGTGAATGTTCCTCAAAATATATAAACTTACAGAATGTCCATGTAATATGGTGATCTGTTCCTTGATGAGAATGTTCCTGACCAGAGGAAATGTGATATATATGGTTTGTAGTATACACTGATTATAAACTTACAGAATGTCCATGTACTATGGTGATCTGTTCCTTGATGAGAATGTTCCTCACCAGAGGAAATGTGATATATATGGTTGGTAGTATACACTGATTATAAAAAGCTGGAAATGGCAAATAATAAACCTGCAAAATTAATAACATAAATTAGAAAAAAATGCTCTGCAAAGTGCAGCTTGATACGACCGCAGATATTGAACCCTGAACAGTTGGGACTAAGTTCCTGGACCCTTTGGACCTTAATGTGCACCAATTTGAAAACCAGTCCCAAAATCAAAAATCTAAATACATGGTTAGATTCAGCACATCAAAGAACCCTGAGAATTCAATTTTTGAAGAAATCTAACAAAGTTTAATTTTGAACCGTTTGGACCTCAATGTGAACCAATTTGATAACTGGAACCAAAATCCAAATTCTAAATACACAGTTAGATTCAGCAGTTCAAAGAACCCAATAAATTCAATTTTTGTTGAAATCAAACAAAGTTTTAATTTTGGATCCCAATTTGGACCAACTTGAAAACTGCATAAAATCAAAAATCTACTTATATGCTTAGATTCAGCATATCAAAGAACCCTAAAAATTCATTTTTTGTTAAAATCAAACTAAGTTTAATTTTGGATACTTTGGATCTTAATGTGGACCAGTTTAAAAATGGGCCCAAAATCAAAAATCTAAAAAACTGATAGATTGGGCACATCAAAGAACACCAATAGATCAATTTTTTGATGAAATCAAACAAAGTTTAATTTTGGACCCCAATTTAGACCAACTTTGAAAACTGGGCCCAAAATCAAAAATCTACAAGTTTGAGCTTTTTAAAAACTGTGGACTGCTTCGATCTATCCTAATTTAAGGTTATACGTGTGCATGTGGTTATTGATTTAGTATTGGAAATGTGGTATTTTTAGATATTGATTGATATAAAATGGATGTCTTAGACTTGGAATATCAATTTTTGTATATATATTAAGATGAACTTTTCTAAAATTTTAAACTGGCTGTTCAGTGTTGTACGTTATACACCCATGCTTTTAAAAAAAAATCGATTTACCTGGTGAAATTTAAAACATTTACAAAACACGACTCTCGAGTTGTGCCTTTCTGGAGGTGTGCCCAGATTGGCAGAAGTTATAAAATACAGATAATGCATTTTTGTATACATTGTATTGGAACATTGTTAAGCTAAACAAATCGTGCATATTGCAGATTAACAAAGCAAATAAACAGGTGTTAAAAATTGATATTTCAATATTGAATTTCTGTGTGCAATATTTGCATAATAAAACGAACATGCATTAATAACACTTGATCGGAACTGAAATACACATAGTTAATTTTCCGGCATTTGATGTCTTATCTTGTGACGAGAAAAGTCTGTAATTCTTTATCTCATTATTTACGCCAATAACTGTTGCTGTATCTCAGCTGAATCATAAAGCAACCAATCAGAATCTTTATGTGATAAGTAATTATTTCAAGATGGCGTGTATATCAACTGAAACTAATAGCTCCGCACCGTGATGCTAAGCAAAAACACTGTTATATATTATGCATATCAAAGAACCCATAGAATTGAAAATCAAACAAAGTTTAATTTTGGGCCCTTTTTTCCTAAACCGTTAGGGTCATAACCCCCAAAATCAATCCCAACCTTCCTTTTATGGTATAAAACCTTGTGGCACAATTAAATAGCAATTCATAGACTCATACATAAGTTATTGTCCAGAAACCAGAAAATTCAAGTTTTTTACCCCTTTTTCTAGACGATTTGGGCCATACCCCCCAAAATCAACCTTCCTTTTGGAATATGAAACCTTGAGGTAAAATTTTGTAGAGATCCATACATTTATACACAAGTTATTGTCCAGCAGCCGGTTGTACGAACGTTTCATTAGTCTAATGAGTCATTAAGTCTTCATTAGTCTAATGCATCATAAAGGCTTAATGAAGACTTAATGACCCATTAGGCTAATGCCTCGTTCGTACAACCGGCTGCTGAAAGTAGAAAAATGCTTGTTTTTGGCCTCTATTCGGCCCCTAATTACTAAACAGCTAAGACAATAACCCTCAAAATCAATCCCATCCTTCCTTTTTGTGGTATGGAACTTTGTGCTAAAATGTCATAGAGATCTACATGTATACACTTATACTCAAGTTATTCTCTGCGAACCAGAAAAATGCTTGTTTTTGGCCCACTTTTTGACCCTTAATTACTAATTGTGGTCACAGGAAATTATGCCATCATTGGGCCTGTTTAATGTCATCTTGAATCACATGTATAAATGTTATACCTTTAAACCATTTGTGAGGTATCTGACTCCCTTTCGGTCACCATAGAAATGTGTCATGATAATGACCTTGTGACCTTTTTCCAACAGACACTGAGATAGTTGATAGATGTGACTTTCCACTCCTCCCATGTTTGGGTAGAAAAAATCTGATACCATACTGAAATTAGAAATTGTTTTAAAACGGTCGTTTCAAAAGGACCAATTCATTCATGTATCTTTATCAAGGGATTCTCTTCGTGTACACAGAACTTTATTATCCTGTACATGTAATATTCCACATCTAAATGCCCAACATGATGTAATAAACATTATGGTTTTTTTCTCATTGTTGAAGGCCATACGGTTGCCTATAATTGCTTACATCCACTGTATGTGAACTTTGGTGGATAGTTGTCTCGTTGGCAATCATACCACATCTCCTTATTTTTATATTGTGAGATTTTTTTCATTTCTAATCTCCTGTATTAGAAATAAAAGTCAGAATGCAAATATATATGTTCAACTCTTTTAGGTCATTTTTTAATAACAACAAACAAAAGAACTATGTCAATTGCACCTGCTTTGATACGATAACTGCACTTGAGTTTTTACTAGATAACATTTTTGTTGGCTATGGAGGTTTCGTATATCGTCAAGTTATCGGAATCCCAATGGGGACTTATAGTTACTGTGCACCACTTCTTTCGGACCTGTTTCTGTATTGTTATGAGACCCATCGAAACAACATCTGATACAAAAATTTAATAACACTTTTAGATATTTGGATGATATATTGGCTCTAAATAATAACGACTTCAGTATGTACACTAAAGAGATTTATCCTGCTGAAATGACTTAAAATAAAGCTAATACTAACAATGAACACTGCCGTTTCCTGGATCTTGATATCTATATCCTTAACAGGAAGCTTAATACCAAAATTTACGATAAAAGAGATGATTTTTCATTTCCTATTGTAAATTATCCATTTTAAGATAGTGACGTTCCCTTGTCACCATCTTATGGTGTTCATATATCTCAACTTGTTCGATTCGCTCGTGTATGTAACAAAGTTTTTGATTTTAACATAAGAAATGTCTGTATTACAGAAAAATTATAACAACAGGTTTTTCTGTATCACAAACTAGTCAAAACATTTACTAAATTTTATCATCGGTACAAGGACATCATTTGTAAATATAAATCAACATGCAGACATCTTATACGTTCAGGTATTTCACATCCAATCTTTTATGGGAATATTCTATACAAAGCACAAAAATGTCTTATTCACCGCAAAAGCTAACCAAACCTTTGAACAGACTTATCCAGAAGAGATATAGTTAAGATACTGTTGTCAGTCATTAAAGATGGCATATTTTGGAATTAATGCTGATTCACTCATAGGGTCTTTGCATCGGAAATAAACACATTTATTCTACAACCAGTTGTTGGCATGATATGGGTTATGTTCTTCTCATATATCTTATGATGGTATGATACTAAACCCCTAACGGGAGGGATTGTGTTTGATTTTCATGTGATGAAGACATGATCTTTTAATCAGTTAAATTGATGTCTGGAGCTGGCATTTCAGTAACTACTAGTAGTCCTTTGTTAATTTATGTATCATTGTCATTTTGCTTAGTTTCTTCTGTTACCTATTCTGACATCGGACTCAGACTTCTTTTAAACTGAGTTTTACTGTCCGTATATGTGTGTTTGTTTATTCTACATTGGTAAGAGGTATAGGGGGAGGATTGAGAGCTCACTAAACATGTCCTCAATGCTCTTCAACTTTGTACTTTATTTGGCCTTTTTAATATTTTTTTGATTCGAGCGTCGCTGATGAGTCTTTTGTAGACGAAACACGCGTCTGGCGTAAATATAAAATTTCAATCCTGGTATCTATGATGAGTTTATTTACAACCACTGGGTCGATGCCACTGCTGGTGGAGATTTATTTCCCCGAGGGTATCACAAGCCCAGTAGTCAGCACTTCTGTGTTGAAGACCCATTGGTGGCCTTGGGCTGTTTTCTGCTCTTTGGTCGGGTTGTTGTCTCTTTGACACATTCCTCATTTCCATTCTCAGTTTTATTAACTGACTCGAAAGTGTGAAAACGTAACATTGACTTTAGCTAGTCATTAAACCATAAAAATATGCAAGGCCGAAACTTAACATCCCTAGTCTAGTTCCTAAACAATGAGAAAAACCCATACCATATAGCATCTATAAAAGGCCCCAACATGAAAAGTATGAAGTAATTCAAATATGACAGACATGAATCAAAGACAACCACTGCACTACAGGCTCCTGACTTGGGACAGGCACACATAGAATGTGGCGGGGTTAAACATGTTTGAAGGCACCAACCCTCCCCTAACCTGAGACAGTGGTGTAACAATACAACATAAGAACAAACTATAAAAATCTGTGCACACAAAAAAAATCCCATTTAAAAGATCTCAAGAACACCATTTACATATATACATACCATACATTATGCCTTCTTAATGATAAACAATTATTCATCTCATCCTAAATCTATATATGTATCTGAAAATAAAGGGATAAATATGTAAGTCACTTTAGAGATATAATACATTGTACATACATGTACATATATTGATATGCACCTGTTGCATACATAATGTAATTTTAACAAATATTTATCCATTTTAATCATGCTAAAAGTATAAAACTGTATGTAGTAATAAAGATCAAACTCAGTTAATTTTCCTCAAAATGCTTTTTTTTATTTTTAAAGGAATAACAAACTTCAGTACATATATACACATGATATACATATATACACATGATATATGTTGGTATCTTCAATCTTCTTTACACATGTTACACATGGAAATGCTTACAGTTGACATGCAACACCGTGGACACCTAAAAAAACATGTCCTTTGTGCCCCAGTTTTTGTGTAATTCGTTGTTGTCATGGTAATGTCAATGTGACAAGTTTAATAGCCTTTTGCTATCTTCCACCATTCTTTTACAAGTCTGAGATAAACTATGATAAATGAACTTTGCCTTGATTATCATGACAATTTTTTTATTCATTATGCATTTCGTCAAAATAATTAATAAAACACTAAAGGAAACCTGTTTCATGTTTAGAATGTCACTTCATTTTGAAACAATAAAAAAAACTTATTTATAGCAATACACTAACTAAAACACAATTACAAAATTATCCAACACAAAACCAATAAAAAGGGTGCGATTGTGAATGGGAGCAAACATGATTTTGGGTGAACGGACCCAGATTCTAAGGCATCAATATTATATCTGAACACCCTTGTTCATTGGGAATTGTACCAGTGTTAATATGAAAATAAGAAGATGTGGTATAATTGCCAAGGAGACAACTCTCCACAAGAGACCAAATGACACAGAAATTATCAACTATAGGTCACCATACAGCCTTCAACAATGAGCAAAACCCATACCGCAGGCAGCTATAAAAGGCCCAGAAATGACAAATGTTAAACAATTCAAACAAGAAAACTAAAGGCCTAATGTATGTATAAAATGTAAGTTGGTTTTTTTGGCTGTTTGATATGTTTGAGGTGCAGTGTAGGCAGTGGTTCATATCTAGATGCCTAAATTGGGTGCCATATCAAAAATGGATAGCACAAAGTCAAAGAGTATCAAATGGTTTACAGAGTTTATATCCTGTCTTTGCTGTTCACATGTACATTCCACACACTTTACTTACATTCATGTTAAGGTTCATGTGGACCCTTCGTCTAAAATGGCTGCATTTTCACCTCACAATTTACTCTGAGTACAGACAAACCTGTGCATCTGGAAAAGTTTTAAGGCATAGCATGCCCTAGATAAATAAAATTCAAATATATTCTATATTTTAGAAAATTAAAAACTTAACCGGATTTTGCAGTGCACTTTTTTTCATTCCTCCAGAAGGTGCCAAAATAAACTAAGCTGGGAAAGAGGTTTGAGAACTTCCCCACAGGTAATAATTGAAGTGAACTGTTTTGATTGACATGGACAATAGATGGACAATAGATACCTGACAATAATAGGTGATTTAAACTGTGTACCTGAGTGGACCATATCAAGTGAAACTCAACTGTTTGTTAATTTTATCATCTTCTGCAGGGACGAAAAAAAGTGCACTGCTAAATCCAGTTAAGTTTTAAATTTTCTAAAACATACAATGCATTATAAGTTTATTTATCTAGGGCATGCTATGCCTTAAAACTTTTCCAGATGCGCAGGTTTGTCTGTACTCAGAGTAAATTTTGAGGTGAAAATGCAGCCATTTTAGCCAAAGGGTCCACATGAACCTTAACATTTGACCATACCAATGCATTCAACATGTCATTAGAATATTTCCGATAATCAACTCATAAAATGACTTAAAATAACCCTTCAGAGTTACAAGGTTTCTATATCTTAGTATTTTTATCCAAGTAAAAAATATATCAGAAACTTATCGAAACCGGAAATTTACATATCATTGAAATATCTGGATCGAGTACGGAGTTATAGTCCGAATTCCGACTTCCGATGAAATAGAAGTCAGATCTGTGTATTTTTTTTTTAATCCTTTGATTTTCGAGTTTGACCCGATGCAAAACGTTTCGGCTACACTGCGAGTACGGTCACAGTCGATTCGGCCATACTGCCAGTTCGTTATATATATATATATTTATTCAAGATAAAAAGGCATGAATTTGACAGATACAAAATATTACAAAGACACAGATATAGCACTAGACATAGTTTATAGACACTAAAATGATATACATGTTTACTAAAAATTTTAATTTAAGAAATAAAAAATAAAATTATGAAAATTTTCATGATATTTTGATAATATGATTAGACTAGATTAAATAATGAGTGAAATTTAACTTGACTAGATTTTCACTGTAGCCTAATATCTTAGGATGACCCACAAAAGGTAGTAAAACTTATTTCCAGTGGGGTCCTTTTATAACGAGACTTCCAGTTTACACCAAGGGTTGACACATAGAAAATACACGCACAAATCATTTAGAATTTATCACAGATAAATGGTCAAAGCCCCAGTATAATTAATAAAAAAACAAATTCACTATTAAAGATGGATTTAAATTTATCCATCAAAATTTTTTTCACTTGTACTTTAAAATTATATTTTTTAGAGCAACTTTTAATCATGTCTGGTAACGAATTCCAGTCTTTTATTCCATTATAAAAGAAAGTGGTGGGTTTTTACTACTAGATCTTGTATTTGTTTCATTTTTAACAAAATTAGTATGTAAATAATTTGGGCATATATTGTTAAAAATGTTGAAAACATGATTGAGTCTTAGTTGTTTGACTCTATTACTAATATTTAAAAAGCCCAATTTCTTAAATTCAATATATGTCACACTCTTTCTGGGATGTTATTGCAGAATAAATCTCACAATCTTATTTTGTGCCACTTGAAGTTTATTCTTCATTTGTTTTGATATACCTTCATACCAGCATGCACATGCATAGTCAAAATGACATTGAATCAGGGAAGAGCACAATGTTTTCCTAGATTGAAAATTTAGACACTCTTTGTTTCTATATAAAAATTTAAGCCTTTGATTGACTTTTTTCACTATAGAGTTGACAATAAAATCACCAGTTAGAAACTGATCAATTATTATTCCCAAATATTTTACAAAAGTTTTGGATTCAATATTAATACCATTACAGGAGATAGCAAAATCACCCGATATTAAAGACCGGTTTTCGACCAGGACCAAAAATTATAAATTATTATACTCTCCGTCTTTCCCAAATGTAAGGACAATTTATTGTCAGTTAACCAATCATGGCATGATTCCAGCATTCTGGACAATTTATGCGAGATGACCCCAGGGTCTATATGGGAAAATAAAATTGCAGTATCATCTGCATATATCAAAACTTTACAATCTGAGTCGATGCTAGTTTGAACATCATTGACATAGATCAAAAACAAAAGTGGACCCAGTAAGCTACCTTGAGGGACACCACATGTAATATTACACACTTCTGAAATCACCCCATTTACACTTACAACCTGTTTTCTGTTTGTTAAATATGACTTAAACCAAGGTATAGATCTAACCCCAATTACTTCTAATTTGTCACATAATATCTTGTGATCTACTGTGTCAAATGCCTTCTGTAGGTCTAATAGGACCATGCCTGTAAAAAGACCTTTGGCTGTTTGAGCTTTAATGTGATCTATCAAGTTCATACTTTGTAAAGTCGTTTCGGCCATGGTTTATTGTTAACCAGAGACATATCTTTGTTATAACAAACTTAAATACAATCTATAGTAGCCTATGGCGTTTACTTAATTTTGATGCTTTATTATGAAGAAAGAGCAACCTGACCGACAGGGTTATTTGACCTTTAACTTCTAAAAATGCGTTAGCAAGACAACGAGAAAAAAACGATTAAAATTATTGCACAATAAGACTAACTGTATACTGCCATTTTTTATTGTAAAATAGCAGTACTCAATCGGTCTTGTTCTTTGCTTAAAACTGCAAATTTTTAAACAGATTAGCAATTAGTGTGTAAGACTGTTTATTTGAATAAAGGACAATGAGTAATTTATAGAATTGTTTAGACTGATTTAACAAATACCAAATATTTGTTTTAGTTTGTATCAATTTTTCAACTTAGCAATATAAGGGGAGATAGCTCAAATAGTAATTTTTTATAAGGAAATGTTAAAGAAATTTTCAATTCTTAAATGTAACAAGAAAACACGTTCGAAGACTCTTTTTTTATATTCTCAAGCATTTAATAAAACCCATCTTCTCATATTTTATTTCAAATTTTTATCTCATAGATTTCTTTGTATTCACAAAATCAGTAGTTTTTTTATGAATAATCTATGCAAATTTAAGCAATTTTGCACGACTTGTAGTTTGAAAAATATCACAATGCCCATACTTTTTATTATATTTTTTGAAAAGCATGTTCAGATCTACATTTTGAAAAAGTATATGAAAATAATATCTGAGGAAAATTATACCGATGATCCACCTTAAGTTCTATAATGGAAAAGAAGGGATGTGATGTATCTATTCCGTTCAAAAAATAAAAACGGACACAAAAAGCAAGAACCAGCACTTTTATTGATGTTCAGTTGATCCAACCGTCAACATATAAAAACTTTCTGACGCACGTATAATAAAAAGACAGTCCAAGACTATATATCCTTTCCACGAGTGTTACAGTGTCTCAGTTTAAGCAGTTACACATATCATTGATCTCACATGCCCACTTGTTATCATAGTTTGGCAATATTATCATAGTCTGGCAAGTTATATGATAACAAGTAGACATAGGTCTATGAACAGGCAAACAAACAAACATTTGAATAACACCTATGAGTATCTCATTAACTCCATTCCAAGTAAGACCAGGTAGTCTTAATAATCTCTTGCTATGCAGGCATCATATACAAGAATCAAGAATTATGATTGAAAAAGAATTGACAAAGGTAATAAAGTAACTGTAAAAGCCAAGAACATGACTGACCCTGTCTTTTATAGTAACTTTAGTACGTTTGTTTTCTTTCAATCATAATTCTTGTACATGATGCCTGCAAAGCAGGAAATGCTTTCCGTGTTGA